TTACTCACTTCCTCTCAATTCCTTTTGTCACTGTCGCCCGTCACCCTTCCTTCTTAATTTGCGCATTTCCATCTAGCTACCTCTCTTTCTCTAACAATCCTTTCGGCTGCTTTGAAAGTTATAAGTCCTTCATCGAGTCCTTCCTTGAACGTCCGCGTCCATTACTTATCGATCGGTCGTCCCATCCAACCCATCACTCTCGACTCCTTGCTTTTGCACCATCTGCTGTCCACCGTGGTAACACAGGAAACCAGAGCCACAGCGATCAATCACGAAAACTCATTACCCACTGCACGGACATAGCTTTACCGGTCCCGTCACTTCCCAATACAAGATGGCGGAGGTCGAGAGCAGCGTCGCGGACGAGTCGTTGGCGCAGTCCGAGGCCCCCGACGAACAGCAAACCCATAACATGACGGTCGGCATTAGGCGACAGGCGAATGGTACGATCGGCTCGGTCTATTCGGGAAACAAAATCCGGCACCTAAAGAAGGAGGATGGAATTCCTCTATGGCGCAAGGACATCCAGTATCAGTTTCTCAAGCTTGTCTTCGAGGATACAACCCCGGTCTTCACTCGCTGGCCTGATGGGGTGAAAGGCCTGGACTTTGCCGACATCTACATCGATGCTATGGCGAGAAGCAGCAAGACGAGTAAGATCCTTAAGGATAAATTGCAGAGTGACAAGAAGGCGGCCATCAGCATGGCTATGGTTTGTCTGCTGGTCAATTTTGGACGCATGAACACCACACTCAATTGTGGGTCCTGTCTTCTACTCTCGTGCGCTTTACATGGACAATGACGCTGACATGTTTCCTAGTCTTCCCCGAGATGCGTGCTCAGTTGCGGACCTATCACTCCATTCCTTCTCTACAAGCGACACAGGACCCTAATGCCTATAAGCAGTTGCAAGATGCTCCTCGTCTCAAGTCGATTCTCAAAGGCGCATCTGAAGACGTTGACCAGCCCAACACGCTGGACAGAATCAAGCGTCAGGCAAAACCCCGCACAAACCCCGTCAATCTGATCTTTGTTCTGGCCCAATATGCCCCCAAGGTGTCGGAAATGCACTTCTTCCCTCCCCGTGACTTCTTTGACCTGGTCATGAGGGGCACACTCAGTAGTCGGAGCAGAGCCAAAGCTTTTCTGTGGTTGATGTGGTGGTATCTGGAAAGTGATTTCTCCGCACAGGCAGCGCTTGACAATCCCTTCGGTCCCGGTCTGGACGGTGAAGGCACCGGAGGTTTGCCTATCAAGGTTCCTCAGTTCGAGAGTCTTACCGAAGAACAGGCAAACGAGGAGAATGTGGATACCCAGTCCGAACTCGACTACGGTGAAGCCAAGCGCTTGGAACGTAAACGTGAGTGTGAATATCCTGCCTTGGTTAACATAAGAATACTAACACCGGTCTACAGGTATCCTGGAAGACGATGAGCCACTACCCAGAGTGCCTAAGCGCTCTAAGAAAGGTATCCAGCACGCTTTTTATATCCTTCTTTCCGAACTCTTTCTGAACTCTTTCTGAACGCCAATTCACTAACCTACATGCCAGGCCTGCCTGACCTCCTCGACGACGAAGCATCAGGAGATCTGTCTGGTGAGCACTTCAATCCATCGATTTCTTTTTCTCGCCTCACTAATCTTCCACGCTATTTAGGTCGCGGTGACGGTCGCTTGTCCACCATGTCCACCCCTCTGCATCCATCCACCAAGCGCCATCCACTAGATGATGAGGACGACTATCAAACTCCCGGACAGTCTGCGCGCTCCCGGTCCAAGAGGCCCAAAAGAGAGTCTTCACTCAACCGTTCTCTTGGTCAGCAGCGTCTCATCTTAAGAACCAAGATGGAAAACACACCTGACGCTGCTTCTCCAGCTCCTCCAGGCTCGGGCCACCCGATCTTGAATCGATTTGTTACAGAAACCACCCAGCCCACCTCCGCCCGTCGGCCACGACCTCTCACTCAACATCAACTGGCTGTCGAGCAGAACCGTCGACAGCGGATTGAGTACATTCTAGCTAAGCGCAAGAGCGAAGCGTACCGCGTGTTGCGTGCGAAACGAGAAAGCGAGATACCTATTGTCCGCTATGGTCGTCGTCTTTCGAATCTCCCGGAAGGCTATGACACAGATGAGGAGGAGAAGGCCTGGGGCAAGGGTGGATTGGTGCCGAAGCCCGACGAGGAAGAAGACTTTGGTGAAAGTGCTAGTTACTTTTTGTCAGTGATCCGCAAGGCCGCCAGACGCTTGGATCGATGGGATTATGACGATGCCAATGGTCCTAGGCGTGATCGCAAGGCCGAACGTGAGGAGCGCCAGAAAGCGAGGGAGATGAGGCTTGCTATGGACAATTCGGGTGATCTTGCTGGGCGCATCCCATCATCCGCTCGTAGTCGCGCTCGTGCTGCTCGCAATGCCAAGCGCAAGCTCGCTAATGCGGCTGCCAGTACCCCATCCGCCAAGGAGCCAGGCGCTGCGAGCTCCTCACGGTCAAAAGCTAACCGCAATCGATCCCAGCGCGATGCCGAGGACGCAGTGGCGTCTACCCCGAACGCGGCCAAGGATGGTCTGGAGGCACCTGGTCGTGACCATGAACTCTCCCCAATGCCTGGCTCGACCCACCTGGGCGATGACGATGAAGGTGAGGAAGGACTAGACGACATTGACCGTGAACTTCTCGGCGAGGGGAGCGGAGATGATGACGGCGCTCCGACACCAGCGGCTCGCACATCTCGACCGGCAGAACCAGGCTATGAGGATAGTTTTATGGAGGCAGGCGATGCAGATGAGGATGCGGAAGGTCTCTCATCCGATGACAATGACGACGAAGAAGTTGATGACGAAGATCTCGATGAAGGAGAAGCGGAGGTGGACGCTGACGAGAACTCTTCCACGCTCGAAGGTGGCAATGGGTATGCTGCCAGCGAGACCTCTTCGGTGGCCGGCGCGGAGGGCGACACAGTTCTAGCTGATGATAAAGACGAGCCTATGACCGATATCTGATCATTTTCCTCCGGATTTTGTTGGGGCTTTGAGCTTTCCAAGCGCCTGGCCTCCGTCAAATCACTTCGGGTGTGCATTGGTTGTGATTGAAGGTTCTCTAGTGCATATTTCGACCCTTACTCTTTACCTGCTCCATCAAGCCTGAGTCTCTCTTTTCGCTTTTTCTGCCTTGTGTCTTGTTTTACAGTGTACGATTATCCCCCAACAGGTTATCTATGTTTTCTACTTCAATTCCACATGTATTGCCCTTCTAGTTTCCCTGCCATCAATTCTACATACCCCCCCTTCGGGATTGGTTGAAGCTTCTTATATGATGTAATTCAGGGAGCATTCTTGGAAAGCATGCGCTCGCTCTCTGCTGTGCTCTGAACGAAGTTGCCCCGGACGTAGCGTGACGGAGAGGATGCAGGTATACTGCGGGGAAAGAGGTGGGGTCAACCTTCTCTTCCCTCTTGCCCCCCTGGGCGAACCTGTGCCGTAGAAAGTCGGAAAGGCTCTCGGATTTGGGGGGTTGTTGCATGGAGCTAGTTCAGCAACACCTGCACCCTGACGACATGAGGACGAGCACGTTGACACATGCTACGGGGACTGTAGGCGGGGACGCAAGGAGGCAAAAACCTAGGTTGGGGTTCTGTGTCTGTGCCTGACAGTTTCAAAGAACACGCTGTCGTCATCACATGCCCGGTTGATATGTTGTGTATCCTACCTAGGATGCTAGACTGTGTGTCTGATAGTAAGATGGTTACTGAGGACCAATATCGGTTGATTTTGCAATTTGCATTGCACTTGCATTGGAACGAATTGGTGAGTTACTGGGGAGAACTCGGGGGGTTCTGAATGTTGTTGGGAAGATTCCCTCCTTCATTAGGATGGGAGTAGGCATGAGTAAGACAGTCAGTCAGTCAGTCAGTCAGTCAGTCAGTCAGTCAATTTGCATGTGATTGCGGGTGGGCTCCCCTCTGCCGGGGCGGTGGTGGATTCGGTGGATTTTCCTCCTTGAGTCTTGCCTTTCCTTCCACTTTCCCCCCCCCCAACATTCCTGACTGAATAACAGTGAGTGGTAACAGGGACGGACGGTACCTCCTACCCAGGGCTAAGTTACTTACACAGTACCTTACCTCTTACTCGTACTTCTTGCTTCCTAACCTCCTCCCTCCTACCAAACGTATTTTATTTACTTCGTTCCGCCGTGAGTATTGAGTCTCAGTCTATTTATTCTTCCGTTTCATGAAAATAATCCACATTCTTTCAATTGTTGCTGTTCTTTGAAGTATTTTCCGAAGAATATACTTATACCCAGACACTATTCTCACTTTTACAAGTATCATTCATCAAGATTTCTCTTCTCTCTTGCCTTCCGTTCTGTCGATCCATTGCAGATCCTGCACCCTATTTCCACCACCACCACCACCACCACCACCACCACCACCACCAGCCCACACCCATCGGTCACCCACGGTCACCCACGGTCACCCACGGTCACACTCGAGTAGCCTCGTACTGTGCTTCTGCTCCACCCACCGAGGCGTTGAAACTAGCTGCTGAAGTTAGTCTTCAGTGACCCAATCGGTTTGTGGTTCAATCTCTCCTCTCTCTTCTCCTCTCCTCTCGCATTCCTTCCATCCCCTCCATATCTGGCCACCGTCTCTGTGTTTGCAGCATTTAGCACGCTCTGGCCCTCTCTTTTCTCCTCTCCGATCCTCTGCCGCTCGTCTTCCACACCCCCACCCCGAAGCACACAACGTTGGCTGACACGATCGTCATATAAACCCCAGAGCGCAATTCGGCCTGTCCAGACTTCTACTTACTTGGACTTTTAAAAGCCACTGGAGCGCCAGCCTGACTTTCTTAGAGCTCCGCCCACAACTTTTCACAGCATTTAACGAGAAAAGGAACCCCCTGCTATTGCTTGGTTTGCTCTATCGTGCCAATCGCCATTCATTGCATCTCTCTGCTCTCATTGAACTCGAGATACTTCATCAACGTTCTCGCCTGCCATGTCTGATGAGTCCACGATCCTTCGCCCGCGTCCGCGCCGCGCGTTCGACCTTACCCCCGAAGAGCCCTCCTCCCCTGCCGAGCCAGCCAATCCGGACCTGTTGAATCCGCGCGAAGCCGGTTCGACGAATGTCAGCCGCAACGTATCGATCATGAATCTGACATCGCCAACTCTTGTCGGGATTTATTCTCCGACCGCATTTGAAGGCACTCGCGACGATTCTTCGCCTTGGGGCACGGAAGCGCATACCCCCGAAGCTCTGAATGCTGGTATTCGGCCAGTCATCCAAGGGCCAGCACCGGGGAAGCTGCAGCGGACGCGGTCACGCCTCAGTCAGGGACTTTTTCGCGGGGTCATTCTCCCCCAGGCGCTGAAGAGCGCCTTCCTGCTTGGCTTCGGCGTGGTGTACGGGATCATTACGATCCACCTGCACGAGAATCATTGGATCACTCCGGTGAAGCTGGAAAACGTCCATTACTACGGATCATGGCAATATCTGGCATTCTGGGGCGTTGCGGGAGTCATTCTGGGCAACGTACTCCCCTGGTTTGACCAGTTCTCGGATGACTTGATCAATGACGGCAAGCGAGCTGCTTCTTCGGCGAGTGACGAGGAAACTGCCGAACGCACACTGTCGTGGGTGGCGGCGGTCCGCAGCGTCGGAGCCTTTGTCGGAATCGCATTTGCTATGGTAAGTCGTGCCATCTCTGGCTTACATTAAGCGTCAGTCGAATCTCTAACTCTACTTGTGATCTTCAGCGTCGACTACCCTGGGAATCTACGACCCAAGCTTCGGTAACCCTCGCACTGGTGAACCCTGTCTTATGGTATCTCATCGACCGCACTCGGACAGGGTTCGTCTTGTCGACTGTGGTTGGTTTGGCTGGAATGGGCGTTGTGTTGGGCGTCAACCCCGATCTGGTGCCATCCTCTCTGGAGCCCTCTAGCCCCACCCTCCTGTTGGCCAACGTCACGGGGCGGGACTTCGGTTTGGACATTGGGGTCACGCAGGAGAGCATTGCTGTGCGGACATGGGTTGCCAGTGTTCTGTTTTGCGCCTGCGTTTGCTTCGGAAACATTGGCCGGCAATTGGCCATTGGCAACTCCGGCAGAGAGTCGCTCAAGAAGTGAGCGTTCTGATGAGGAGACGTTGCTTCTTCTTCTTCTTCTTCTTCTTCTTCTTCTTCACGACATCTGAACACCAATAGTAATACCTTTGAATACACACCCCTCTTGTCTCATTTTCATGCCCTGGGCTTTTGCCCTTCTCAGCATGCATTTCCTTATTATGCCCCGTCCGGACATGATGGTCTGCTACTGGATAGAAAATGATAAGTTTACCCCGAGCATCAGATCTGTCAGACCTTGCCAGCAGAAGTGAGAAACGTCTACGGGTTTTTTTTTGTTCTTGTTTTCCTCTTCTTCTGGGTGTTACGACGCGACTCATCATTAAGAGGCGCGAAAAGGATTGTAGAATCAATCATTGCAATCCCTACTATGGAGTTCAAGCAGGCACTGCACCCAAGATCGACACTCTGCTATAGAGCAGTTTGTCTCCATTCTGTTTGACGATTTCCATACTTCATAGGTTATACAAGTATATCCTCGTAGGAACGCTTTTTTTAAGAATGTTATTTTAATGCGTTGTTCATGTGAAGAAAAAAGGAAAAAGGAGAAGGAGGAAGCCGCGACGAAGCGCGGGTTTTGTAGGGTGTGTGGGTGGTCTGTGCTCAGATCATGTGATTGATAGGCGAGCTTCTTTGCCGATGCAAGCTGTAATGAGTAAGCTGCTCTTATGCATCTAGCATAATTGAGCTAAGTACTCTGTACAGTATGAGCCTTATTTTGCGCACACCTGAAAAGGCAAGGCCAGTGTCCGGCCCGGGGGAGCACCACAGTTACCCACAGTGGCACAGAGGTATGATGATCTATCAGATGATTTCCACTTACAGCACTGAGTTAGTAATCGCCACTGGCAGCCATCCACTCCAAGTCCGAAAGCGGCGAAGCACCCCGCGGCGGGAACAGTGACTGAGCAGTGATGAAGCAAGAACCGCACTGGCAATCCCAGAAGATGGGCACTTTTTACCCCTCCCTCAGCTTCCTTATTTTTTTTGCTCTTGGAGCTATCTGGAACAATTTGCACCTGAGCCACACCTGGCAAACTCTTTACCACTCCGTTCCTGATTCCCTGGAGTTTTGCAATTGATCTCTACTCTTCATTCACTCCTTTCCCCAAGCTCAACATCTTGTCTTTCCCGCGGAGTTTGAGGTATGTGCTACTACTCTTTCCCGGCACTAGACTAGCCCATCGGAACTTCCCAAGTTCCAATTGATCCATTCAACCTGGAGGGGTGGAGGGGTTGTGGGGGGGCACTCCTCCTAACCTGAACATTTTTCTCCCCTCCAGCATCGCTCCTCTTCATCTCTGACTTGTCTACTCCCAGTGTCTGTCTCACTGTCAGTGTCTCTCAGGATGTCTCAACAAAAGTCTGGTGAGTTTTGAACGTTCTGCCCACTGCTCTGTCCTCTCCCACACGGTATACCTGGGTGCAGCAGCTTCATGGTCTGCTTGGAATGGAGATGGTCCGGTCGCTGTCTCCACATTGGGGCATTGTCTGTTGCTTTGCTTGTCAATTGAATGAAGTTCAAGGCTGACTTGAGACCATTGTGTGCCATTGATAGCCATCCTCTCCGTCTACGATAAGACTGGTCTGCTCGACCTGGCCAAGGGCCTCGTCAAGCAGAATGTCCGGTTGCTTGCCTCCGGTGGTACGGCGCGGTTGATTCGGGAGGCGGGCTTCCCTGTCGAGTGAGTCATCATCATACTGATGTGGTCATGAACGGGGCCATATTCTCTTCGTTCTTTTCAGCAAGAGGTAGAGCTGATGGCCGATTAGAGATGTCTCCGCCATCACTCATGCGCCGGAGATGCTGGGTGGTCGTGTCAAGACTCTCCACCCTGCTGTCCACGGTGGTATCCTGGCTCGTGACATCGAGTCCGACGAGAAGGACCTGGCCGACCAGAACATCTCCAAGGTCGACTTCGTTGTCTGCAACCTGTACCCCTTCAAGGAGACGGTGAAGAAGGTCAACGTCACCATCCCCGAAGCCGTCGAGGAGATCGACATCGGTGGTGTGACTCTCCTCCGTGCTGCGGCCAAGAACCACGCCCGTGTGACTATCCTCTCCGACCCCCAGGATTACCCTGAGTTCCTTAAGGAGCTGGAGGCCGGTGATATCACCGATGCCAGTCGCAAGTCCTATGCCCTCAAGGCCTTCGAGCACACCGCCGACTACGACACTGCCATCTCCGGCTTCTTCCGCAAGGAGTATGCTGGCAACGGCGACAAGTACCTGGCTCTCCGCTACGGTACCAACCCCCACCAGAAGCCTGCCTCTGCCTACATGGTTGAGGGCAAGCTTCCCTTCAAGGCCCTGAACGGATCTCCCGGTTACGTCAACCTCCTGGACGCCCTCAACGCCTGGGCTCTGGTCAAGGAGCTCAAGCAGGCCTTGGGCTACCCTGCCGCTGCCAGCTTCAAGCACGTTTCCCCCGCCGGTGCTGCTGTCGGTGTCCCCCTGAACGAGAAGGAGCGTAAGGTCTACATGGTTGATGACATTCCGGGTATCGAGACCTCTGGCTTGGCCCAGGCTTATGCTCGTGCCCGTGGTGCCGACCGTATGTCCAGCTTCGGTGACATCCTTGCTCTGAGTGACATTGTTGATGTGCCTACTGCCAAGATTGTCTCCCGTGAGGTCTCTGACGGTGTTATCGCCGCTGGCTACACCCCCGAGGCTTTGGAGATCCTCTCTAAGAAGAAGGGTGGCAAGTACCTTGTTCTCCAGATGGACGAGAATTATGTTCCTGCTGCCGAGGAGACTCGCACGCTGTACGGTGTGCAGCTCTCCCAGCACCGCAACGATGTCGTCATCTCTCCCCAGAAGACCTTCAACACCATCATCACTCCTAAGGATTTGAAGGCTCTCCCTGACTCCGCCCTGCGCGATCTTACCGTCGCCACCATCGCGCTGAAGTACACTCAGTCCAACTCTGTGTGCTATGCTCTGAACGGCCAGGTCATCGGTCTCGGTGCTGGCCAGCAGAGCCGTATCCACTGCACTCGTCTGGCTGGTGACAAGGCCGATAACTGGTGGATGCGCTTCCACGATCGTGTGCTGAACATCAAGTGGAAGCAGGGCACCAAGCGTGCCGATAAGAGCAATGCTATCGACTTGCTCTGCTCGGGTCAGACCCCTCGCAACGAGGCCGAGCGTGCCGAGTATGAGCGTGTGTTCGAGGAAGTCCCCGCGCCTTTCACCGCGGAGGAGCGTGAGTCTTGGCTGCAGAAGTTGAGCGAGGTTGCTGTCTCCTCTGATGCTTTCGTAAGTTGATCCCATTCTTCCGTGACATGGCACTTTTCAACTAACAATGGACGCAGTTCCCCTTCATTGACAACGTCTTCCGTGCCGCCCGCTCGGGTGTCAAGTACATTGCTGCTCCCAGCGGTAGTCAGAACGACCGTCCCGTCTTCGAAACCTCTGAGAAGCTGGGTATTGTCTTTGTTGAGCAGGGTACCCGTCTGTTCCACCACTAATTTGACATGGATGGGGCGGGTCCATGCCAAAAAAAAATCACACCTGCGACGGTTGTGTGTTTATGATGATTTATACCTGAAACTGTGATGATCAAAGGCCTGCAATAGCGATATCCCAATTTTAAAAAGTGCCTTGTTATGAGAACCGACGTGCACAGCGTCGAGGCGTAGAGTTGTATCATGTATCATCTGCCAAGACATTTCACTTGTATTGCAGTCCAGGATCTGCAGGCTAGGAAGAGCCCCGAGACTGTAGTACACTCCCTTGCCGTTGATGCATAGATTCCACGTGGTTCGGCAAATTTGCCGGGTGGGTTCCATCGAACACGACGAATGTAGCGCATGCACAGAGTTGCCATGAGCATTGAGTGTTTTGATGATGTTACTCATGAGTTTCGACTCTACTTGCCTTATTTTCTCTGTTTTGAGATCTGGGAGAGGAGAAAATATGACCTATCTTGGAGTTCATCGCGATGTGACGGCGGGTTTCTACTACCGCCGCTATCATCCACAATGCTTGGCGGAGAACGAAATACAGTGTGCCAATCTGCTGCTTCTGAATGTTTATATTTACTGGTGCTTGTTCTCGGTGGCGGTCGGTCGAAGCGTTCATCTTATCTCAGGTTCGATCATACAGTACCTTGGTCGCTTGTATATATATATCGCTCTTACAGGAATAGAATTTATTTATTTATGTAGGTCGCTGAGTACCACAGGTACCGACTCATGTCCTCAAGATACCGAGCCAATTCACGTCTTAGCTCTGTACCCATAGCTCTGATGTGGGCTTATTTACATAGTTTCAAGGTGACAGATTTGATTGTGGTGAGCCGTGCTGGTCTCGGCCCCGTTGCTGACGTCATCGATGTTGTGGCTCGTTTGGATGGAACCGGCCATGTGGCTTTGTTGTCCTGCCCAGGCCTTAGCGATGGCCTGGGGGACGAGATTGAGCCATGCCAATTGAGTCTTGAATTCATAACATCCTGGGAGGTCCTTTAAATGTCGGTATCCAGTTGTATCTCGCAGTTCAATACTGAGTACAAACAGAGTGATAGATGGTAAACAAGCTCTGGTCCCTAGACCTTACCAGAACCCATAGCTTAGGCGATTTCCACAACGTGAGTATGGTATAGAGATATCGCATTTGCGTGTAAAGATTCGGTTACTTCGAGACTCTTGAGTGAAGGTCAATTGGTCTCTCGATTGCTCTATGGGCTTGTTCTTTGAGAAAGTAACCTGATGGCTGACTTTCTCACCACACTCTTAACTGGCAGGCAACCGGAATAGATTGAGCCATTGAGGGTGCCACATGAGGGCTCTGGGAAAATGAGAGTAGTGAATACACCGAGCGACTTGCCTCAAGTTATTTTCAGAAAATTCAAGACCTCAGCCTTGGTGAGATTGAAATAGTCTGATAATCAAAGTCAGGCACGGGCTGGAACAGCCCCCCCTGTGGTGACAACACGTGACGGCCGCCATAAGCGACACCTCAGCAACGACACCCGCGCCGGCCTCCTGAGGTCACTTCCGCTT